ATCTTTCTGTCTCACATTTTTTTCTTCTAACTTAATTCCCCCGTTTCTTTACTCACTTAATTCCATTCCAAATCGCGCGTTTCTCTTTCCTGCTCGTAACGTAGCGTACATCAACACTCGCATTCCACTTCATGATTGATTTGGGGGGCGGGGGGGTAAGGCATGCTTTCTCCCCCCCCCTCTCCCCCATTCCTAACGTCCCCTCTTCCCTTACCCTTACCATTACCCTTAACCTCCTTCTATTCCCTCTCCTCCCTCCTTCTCTACTTCCTCCTATTCTCCTACTCTTCCTCTTCTCCTCCTCCTCCTCCATTTTCTATTCATCCGTCTTCTTCTTCTTCTTCTTCTTCTTCTTCTTCTTCTTCTTCTTCTTCTTCTTCTTCTTCTTCTTCTTCTTTTTCTTTTTCTTTTTCTTTTTCTTTTTCTTTTTCTTTTTCTTTTTCTTTTTCTTTTTCTTTTTCTTCTTCTTCTTCTTCTTCTTCTTCTTCTTCCTCCTTCTCCACCTTCTTCTATAAACCCCTTCTCCTCCTACTCTTCCCCTTCCTCCCCACTTTCTCTTGTCTGTTCACATGACGTATAAGACACAGAGAAACAAAGAAGGAGAGACCAAAAGCACAGCCCCGAAGAGAGGAGACACGGAAAACGCCGAAAGGAATGAGGCCGAAGCGAGAAATGATAATAAAAGGAGGCATGAAAATAAGCGAGAATAAATGGAAGGACGGGAGGGGGAAGAGCGAGAAGTGATGAAAGGCGATGGAAAGGGTAAGCTGGAAGAAAACAGAGGCGAGAGGAGCGAGGGGAAAAGGATACAGGCCAATGAAAGAGGGGAGGAAGGAAGAATGGAGGACAGAAAAGCAGAAGGGGAGGGAAAGGGAAGACGGGGGGAGGGGGAGGGGGGGGGGAGGGCGAGGAAGAGAGAGGCGGGAGAAAGGCGAAGACGGGAAAAGGAATGTAGTAGAGGAAGGGCCTAGGGAGAGGAATGGGTGAAAGGAGAAATGAGAGAGAAGAGAGGGAAAAGGTAGAAAGAAGTGAGGAGAGAGGGGAGGGAGGGTGGAGAAAGGGTGGAGAGAGGGGAGAGAGGGGAGGGAGGGTGGAGAAAGGGTGGAGAGAAGGGAGAGAGTGGGGAGAGGAGAGAAGGTAGAAAGGGTGAATAGAGAGAAGAGAGAAGAGAGAAGAGAGAAGGGAGAGAGGAGAGAGGGGAAGGACGGGAGGTGCGTGCCAAGGAACAGAGGATGTGATTTTTATTGCCCAACTGCGGGTTTCAGGTGTCAAGGTGTTGCGGGCTCATTAGATGGCACTCTGGGGCACATACATACACGGGAATACACACAATGACGTAAATACGTGCACGAGAATATATACACACTAAGATAAATAGAGACACAGAAATGAATGCAATACATATAAATACGCGCATACATAATGCGCAAGGGAATACATGTATACTGCATTCATAAGAATATTTCGCATACACACAAACACCAATAAACACACACACACACACACAATCATGTATGTATTTATAAACAAAGGCGCTCGCAAGGATTTGCAAGCAGATAATTAACGAAAATTTGTTTACTATGCATTAGTTGCAACCCTTTAGGGAGGGAAGAGGGAAACGGGGGGGGGGGGGGATGAAAGGAGTGGGGTTATAGTGTGAAGACGAACATTCGGAAAGAGGGATGGAGGGAAAGAGAGAAAGGGTGAGGGAGAAAGAGAGAAATACGCGGGGAGGGGGAGGGGGAGAAATACCACTAATATCACGCTGCCGTGGCAAGAAATGTTAGTATATTCACCACTGGAAGTAAATTCCATTGGAAGCTGTCACTCCAACATAAGGCAACGTCACCCCAGTTTTCAAAGTACAACACTAATAACTCTAATAAGTGGAGGGGCGAGAAGGAGGAGGAGGAGGAGAAGGAGGAGGAGGAGGACGGAGGAGGAGGAGGAGGAGGCGGCGGAGGAGGGATATGAACAAAGAAAAGGATAACAAAAGGAAGAGCAACGGCCAAGGAGCGCACAGAAGAGACCTAATGGTAGCTGAGCTGCGACTCCCGCTAAAAAGGCTGGAGCTTCACTGACCCCTGAGCAGGTTGGAGTCCTGGAGCCACGACAGCGACGTGAGCTCGTCGTCCGTCCTCGAGCCGCACGACGAGCCCAGGGCAGAACAGGACGACGACGAAGACGAAGACGACGATGAAGGCGGCGACAGCGAAGGGGGCGGCGACATGGAAGGCGAAGGGGCCGACGAGGACGACGCCAGGGTCGACGACGTCAACGCCAGCGCAGCCGACGACGAGAGGGCCGTCGTGATGGCTACCGTCGACGACGACGAAGGGGGCGCGACGGCGTGGTGGATCGGACGCGGCGGGAGCAGGGGGTCCGCGCCCCCCGTCGACGCGCCGCAGCTGCTGGTGGTGATGGTGGTGGAGCTGCTGGAGGAGCTGGCCGAGGAGCCGACGCCGGCCATCAGCCCGACCAGTCTCCCGCTCTCGTCATGCTGGTGGAGAAGACACGAACGTTTAGTTAATCATCATCACCATTATAATCATTACTATCAAAATCATCATTACTACTAATTTACTACTACTACTATTACTAACACCTACACTTTCTAACCGCCCACAGCACTTTATACGTGCGACTAAAGCATCTGAACTTGCATGAGTTACTCCTCCTCCGCCGACATCAAGACAAGTATTTGAGATCCACTTAGGCGATAAGGGAGTCGGTCCTAATAGTAGCAATACCCCGTGCAAATGACTGCAAATGCCACTTTAACAGACAGTTTTTCAGTCATGGAATATATGAATGGATCATAGAATCATTGATTGGGGCAACTAATTAAATCAATATATAAATGAAATTTATTCATAAGGAAATAAATAAGATATAAAAATTATATGAGAGAGAGAGAGAGAGAGAGAGAGAGAGAGAGAGAGAGAGAGAGAGAGAGAGAGAGAGAGAGAGAGAGAGAGAGAGAGAGAGAGAGAGAGAGAGAGAGAGAGAGAGAGAGAGAGAGAGAGAGAGAGAGAGAGAGAGAGAGAGAGAGAGAAAGAGAGAGAGAGAGAGAGAGATGAAGAAAGAGGGCATTCTATATACAAAAACAGACCAACGGAGAAGAAAAAAACAAACAAACTCACAAACAGGAACAGAAAGACCCACACAAACAGGGTAAATCCAGCTCCCTAGATTCCTCCTTCCTCCTCACACACTACTCCTTCCCTCCAAATAACAACCTCCCACTTCCTCCCTCCTCTTCCTCCTCCTCCTCCTCTTCCTCCTCCTCCTCTTCCTCCTCTTCCTCCTCCTCCTCCTCTTCTTCCTTCTAATCCCCTGTCCCTTCCCCGTTCCAGGTGTGCTCACTATGGCAACCAAGGGCCTCCTGTGCGTGGTGTGACGTGAAGCCATGGCAACCTGCATATCTAATGTGCGTCTTCCTACCTCGCTGCTACTTCAATACGCCCCACGCCGCGCCACGCCCAATGCGTCGTTCGTTTAAGTTTCTTTTTTTTTTTTTTTTTTTTTTTTTTTTTGGAGTGGGTGGGGTGGGGTGGAGGGAAGGGGGCGTTTCTGCTTGCATAACCTCTTTCTATTGTCCTCTCCCTTTCTCTCTCTTTTTCTCTTTTCCTTCTCACCCTCTTTTTCTCTCTTACTTCCTTTCTCTCTTTCTCTCTCTCCCTCCCTCCCTCCCTCCCTCCCTCTCTCTCTCTCTCTCTCTCTCGCCATGAATAATAATAATAATAATAATAATAATAATAATATATAATAATAATAATAATAAAAATACCACCCAAAAATAACAGCATCCAATAACAAGAAAAAAAAATACAAAAAAAGTTAAACAGCTAACTGCCAAAACAAAAATAGCTGGAGGGGGGGGGGTGCAGAAGGAAGGAGGAGAGGGGAAACGAGAAGTAAAGAGAAGGGGAAGCGAGGGAAGAAGAGAGGAAAAGGAAAGAAAAATGGTGAAAACAGAGAAAGAAAGAATAGGGCATAACGAGGCAAAGGGTAGAAAGGAGAAAACGAATTAGGGGGAAGAGAAAGCGGAGAGAGAGAGAGAGAGAGAGAGAGAGAGAGAGAGAGAGAGAGAGAGAGAGAGAAAGAGAGAAAGAGAGAAAGAGAGAAAGAGAGAAAGGGAGAGGGAGAGAGAAAGGTAGAAATAGGAAGAAAGAGGAGAGGAAAGAGAATGAGTAAATGAACGAAGCAACAAAAACAGCAAACAAACGGAGGGGAAGGGAATGGAGGGGGGGGGGTATAATTCTGTCCTCTTGATTCCGTCGATACAAGATAAGGATCTCACCCCCCCCCCCCTTCTCCCCCCTTCCCACAACCGTCCTTGTGGATTCGTGTGGGCGTCCTGGCGGATGGGGAGGGGGGGGGATTTTTTGTTGTTGTTGTTTATTTAAAGTTCTATTCCCCTTTTCTGATATCTGTCGGTTAATCAATCGATACAATCTTATTTCCCTTTTCTGTATTCCTTATTCCATTTTTATTAGATTTTTTATTTTTTTTAATCTCTTTATCCACTTCCCCTCTCTTCAACAATCTTTTATTCTTCTTTTATCTCAGTTTCTTCCTTTCGGCCTTATCGCTTTACCTTCTGTTCTTTCACCTTATCCCTCCCCCTCTCCCTCCCTCTCTCTCTCTCTCTCTCTCTCTCTCTCTCTCTCTCTCTCTCTCTCTCTCTCTCTCTCTCTCTCTCTCCATCCCATTATTTTACCTCTTCTTTTATCTCATATATCTGTTTTCCTACTCTCTCTCCTCCCTCCTTTCTCTCGGTTTTCTCTCCCCTCTTTCTCCCCTTATCTCGTGTCTCACTTTTTCCAACGTCCTCCTCTTCCCTTTCATACCATCTTTCTATCCCCTTCCCTCCCCCCCCTTGCGTCTAAATACCAATTGTCATTTTTGTTCATTTTATCTAACTAGCATCAGTCCAGCATTGTAATAGCACCACCTCGCTTTAATATCACTAACTAGTAAAGCTATTATACAAATAT